CTATGGGAAAGGCAAACTGATAACCAGTAGAAACTAGGTTAGTGGTTGTCTTTATAGAGGTTAACTGTAAAGAAAGGCATGTGGGATCTTACTAGGAAGATAGAAATGTTCTGAAACTGGCCTGTGGTAATGGTTGCAAAACTTGGTAAATTAAATAAATGAATAACTGAAATATACACTTAAAATCTGTGATTTTTAGAGAATGCAAATTGTTTTTAAAAACTGTAATATTTTTCATAAGCAATTAGCTCCAGTGTGCTAATTTTTGTTCATTCTAGTTATTAAGATGGCACAAAACTCTCCTGTTAAGGAGGAAATGGACAAAAATTAACTTAAAATATCTCCTGTAATAGTTCATTTTATTTGAGAATAAAACTATAATTGTTCCAGTCAACCAAGATGAAAACAGAGACTCATATTAGACTTCATCCTTATTCTTGTATCTTTGCTTGAACACAAAATTCTGGGGATTTCTTATTCTGATATTCTGTTTATTTCATGCTTTCAATTATTTGTTATTGTCTTCATTCAGGTCCCTATTTTATCTTCCCTTTTATTATTAAAAAAATTCTTCATTGAATAGTTTCTAGATTTTTTTAAATTTCATAGAGCAGAAAAACATATTAAACAGAAAATAAATGGAAATAAATTTTCCAAATTAATTTTGTCAAGTAAGGCCACCAAAATTAAAATTTAACTCGACAACTACCATGTATTTTCTCTCTGTATAAAACTGAGTAGCACTGATTAGTTTCTAATTAAAGTCTTTTATAAAAAAAAGCAGTGAAAATACTTCAAAATACACATGAAATATACAAAACATAAATGTGAAAAAAAAATTGTATTAGGTTCTCCAGGGAAACAGAACTATTAGAGTATATACATAGATGTATAAGAGGTTTTTTTTTTTAATGGGAATTGGCTCATGCTATTATGGAAGATGAGACATGCCACGATATGCACTCTCTAAGCTGGTGAATCAGGAAAGCTGGTGGCATAAAATTCAGTCCAAGTCTGAAGGGCTGAGAATAAGAGAAGCTGTTGTAATTCCCAACCTGAATCTCAGGCCTGAAGCCAAAGGCCTGAGAACTGGGTGAGTGGCCTGCTGGTGTTAAGTCCCTGAGTTGGAAGGCCCCAGAAACATTAACTCTGATGTCTGAAGGCTGAAGAAGATATATGGCCCAGCTCAAAGGGAGAAGAAATTATGCTTCCTCCATCTTTTTGTTCAGTTAAGGCCTTCTAGGGATTAGATGATGCCTGCCATGTTTATGAGGGAAGATCTCTTAGTCTACTAACTCTTCTGGAAATGCCCTGTCAGACATACCCAGAATTAATATTTTACCAAGTCTGTGGTCATCCCTGAGCTCAGTCATTTTGATGCATAAAACTATCACGAGGCCACGTCTTGTCAACCTGGCACAGAGATGCACTTCTTTACTCATATTCAGTCTCCAAACAAAGACAATAAGGTTATATTTTTGCCAAACATGTTAAAACTATCCTTCCTACAACAGAAAATGCAGCAATCCCTTTAACAGAAGAAGAGGTAAATTTCTTATTTTTCCTTTATGAAATTATATTTTGATAACTTATTTGGATATTCAATTAAAGCAATTCAAATTTTAGCTTAAATCTCCAACTTGTTAGAATCAAGTTGAAGCTATTTTCACGTTGCTGTATTGAAATGGAAGGAATGCATTTCATGATATTTAACACAAATCAGAATATTTTGGGTGAATTTGGAGGAGCTGAGTAAGGGTAGATCTCATAGATCCAAAGAGCCCCTCACTTTTTCCTGTAAAGTGGAGAAAGCCATCAGAATTATTCTCTTACTATAGGGGAAAGCTGGAAAGGAACTATGGAGCTTTCTATCGTTAAGATTAATTATACTCTGAGTACTACAGCTTGGGGAGATGATGGTATACTAGCTCTCTCATGGCAAGTTTAGCTATGGACAAAATCACACATCAGTTTCCTGATCAATTTCACAGCCCTGCTGCTCTTAGATTTGGTTGCAAAATAGAGGGTTCTGGGATGGATCCCCTCTACCTACTATCAAAAGTTACATCATAGACTTTCATGGCCACCATTACAGAGCCTCATTTAGGCAATGCTGTCTCTCAAATGTGAAACTCTGTTACTAAACAACATTCTAAAGGCATTATGTCTTATTTAAACCAATCTTTTTCAAATTAAGGCTAACAGACCATCTCTTTCAGAATCACTTGGATTGAAAAGTGATGTCAGGTCCATGTTTGTTTTTTTTAAAGTTACCTTTAGTCCCCTTAACTTAGAATTTACTGAAGAATTTTTCAAAATCTTTATTTTTAAAAGCTCCTCAGATGATTTTAAGAATCATATACATGTGAGATACATTAGTAAAACTAACCTGCATATTAGAATTACCTGGTCATCAGTATTTTATAAAAATCCTCCATATGATACTACAGTGAGGATATGGCTTAGAACTACTGATCTAGAATTGGAAAAAAGATATTCACAGTAGTCTCACTCACTCCTACTGCTTACACCTGGCTTATTTCACTCCCTTATGTTATTCTCTTGGCCTTTAAATGTAACTGAGCCTACAGACTATAAATATTGAGCACTCTATGCGCTAGAAAGTATAGGTTCTTGGAAGTAGAGACTTCAAAGACTAAAATCTAGGGAACTGGGATCAGGTTAGAGAGAGAGCGTTCATGCTGGTACAGGTGGAGGAAGCTTTTGAAGCAACCCAGTTGGGACGTCCACCAAGGTAGTAGCTGCTTACGCCACTTACTGGAGAGAGAGGAGCTACTGGTGACAAGGAAGGGCAATAAAAATAAGAGTGGGACAAACAACAACAACAACAAAGAATTTATACCTCTCTCTTGACAAGAAAAGTAGACCAAAATATTGCTTTGAGGAATCTTTGCAAAACACATAGAACTTTTCAAGGTTTGCCTTCAATGGGAATGTTTTGTTTGTTAAGTTTGATCAAGTCCTGGTTCTTCTGTTCCTTCAGCTGTTTTGGCTACTTCATTACATGAACAGTTTGCTCAAGGCACAGGTATACCAGTACAAGTGCAGGAAAAAAAAAACCAACTGAATCCCTCCTAATGCAAGGGCTTGGAGCAGGACATTTAGGGATCAAGCCTGAGCATTACCCTTAAAGGTGCAGGCCAGAAGCTTCCAAAATTCTAATTTTTCAATTGAGGTATCATTGGCATGTAACATTGTATTAGTTTTAGGTATGCACCATAATGATTTGATACATGTATATACTGCAAAATGATTTTTAGGTAGTTTTAGGAAACTGTATCAAGAAAAAAACGGCCTTAAAATTCACCCAGTGGTCTTATCTCTTAACCGGACATAAACATGTGAAAATCTTTACTATAGCCCTGCGTGCAAAGTGGCTTCAGCTGTGTCTGACTCTTTGTGACTCTATGGACAGTAGCCTTTCAGGCTCCTCTGTCCATGGGATTCTTTAGTCAGGAATACTGGAGTGGGTTGCCATGCGCTCCTCCAGGGGATCTTCCTGACCCAGGGATCAAGTCCATGTCACTTGTTTCTCCTGCATTGACAGGCATGTTCTTTACCACTAGTGCCACCTGAGAAGCCCATATCCCTAATTCAAACCAAACTCCCTAGCTTGGGAACCCAGTGTGCCTCCTACTTAAGTTCCAAATTATCTTAGCCACACATCCCACCGTTCTCTGTTCAGCACTCTCTACTCACATTCTGATGTTTTCTTGTCTCTGTATATTGACTTACACTGTCAGAGTCCTATCTGTTCTTCAGACTTTAGCAAAAATAGTCCTTCCTTCCCCAAACCTTCTTGAATTCTTCTTCCCTTGGAAGTAAATTGCAGAATTTCTACTTCTCATTAACCTTATATTCTAAACTTTTGGTTTTGAATATGTTTCAACATACAAAGATGTGAAAGCCAAACTGCTGAGAAATTAGTATTTCTAAATTTACTTTGGCAGTCGATAGAGGAAAAAGATTGACTTGGTTAACTCGTTTCTATTCTGCCTTATTTCGTTTGCTGTCACCTGACTTCTTTTTCCATCATGAATAGTTTCAGCAGACACTATCCATTTTGTCAACTAGATTAAATGCTATCTTTGAATATATTAAATACAACTGACATTTGCCATTTTTCAAGCCCAGATATGACAGATCTGTAACTGTGCCAAAGTTCCAGAGTTAAAATTTCATTACACTTTTTAGAGTTAAATCACAGAGTACAAATTCCTCATTTCCTGTTATTACTTGAAGGGTAAAAATTTCCCTTCCTCTATTGTAATATCTCTATAACTCAAGGTTTATTTGCTTTATGGGGAGAATACTATTGAATCACATTCTTTGTTTGGAGTTGTGTTGCTTTTAATATTGTAACAGCTTCCTGTCATGTGACTGTGGGAATGACCACCTTATCTCTCTGGCAATTCAAGTTTATGAAAGTGAAAGTCACTCAGTCTTGTCCCACTCTTTGCGACCCCATGGACTATCCACGGAATTCTCCAGGCCAGAATACTGGCGTGGGTGGGTAGCCATCCCCTTCTCCAGGGCATCTTTATATTCCTAATTGTCTGATTACACCTCTTAGTGGAATAACCACGTGATTCATATCCAACATCTGCATTTTCAAATGAAAAGTATAATGTTTAGATAGCAGAAATGAAAGAAAAGTGTTAGCTGCTTAGTCATGTCTGACTCTTTGTGACCCCATGACTATAGCCCCCAGCTCCTCTGTCCATGGAATTCTACAGGTAAAAATACTGGGGTGGTAACCATTCCCTTCTCCAGGGCATCTTCCCAGCCCAGAAATCGAACCTGCGCCTCCTGCATTGCAGGCAGATTCTTTACCATCTTAACTCCCAGGGAAGTCCTTAGTAGATATTACATGTAAATAGACAGCTTCATGGCGGCATAAACTAGGATTTTTAAAATGCTCATGTCCTGTCCTTGTTTTCATGTTGAATGATGTTAGAAACATTTAAAATTAATCTTACAATTTGAGTGTCGCACTCAGGGGTCCTGAGTAGAACCTCTTCCTTTGTAGTCTCAATTTGCGGGGTTTCACTGACTTCAGTAGTGATGTCTTGAGGCTAGAGAGAAAGAGAACATTAAGAGGGAAATAGTTTCATCAGTGAGTTCCTAATACCTTTGTAAAACATGCTATAATGGCAACCTCACACTCAAAGAAAAGGAATAAAATGAAAATGTGTATATATCAGAGACCTTCAGTGCAGTGCAGTTCAGTCGCTCAGTCACGTCTGACTCTTTGCAACCCCATGAATCACAGCATGCAACTGTTGCTTAAATATTAACTATGAAATTGAATGAAATAATTTCTATTCAATTTTGTATGAGTTCTGTCCAATAGGACTACTTTCCTATTGCAAATGTTTATTTCTTGCATAATAAACTTCTAAGGGTTCTGGTTCTTCAAAAAAAAACAGGAATCCTATCTTTCCTTTTTATTTTAATCTCATATCTGTCTGGGAAATAACAAGTACACATCTTGTTTTCTTAATAGGAAATATGATATTTTCTAACATGTCACTGTAAGTTACAAAAAGAATGATGTTGACTCCAATGCTTCACCTACCAATCAAATACTGTTTTATACCTCAAGAAATCCTACATATTACTCTAAATTTATTTACACAGAAATGCACATGATCCAAACCAGGTCATTGGAACCTTCATTTTTTGGAACTAAACACTGACTAGATTAAAAAGAGGCTATAAATAGGTATATTAATTTCAGTAAGTCTACTTCTCCAAGTTGTCTCTACAATGAGACACTTCTTATGGTTCACATTCCCAGTCTTCTGAAGCAGCCTCTGTTTCTGTCCGTCCCCAACTTGGTTACTGCTACCTTCTCCCAGATAGTATGAGCTCCTGATGTTCTACCATTAAAATATACTTCGTTTAATTTGGTAAGGGTCAATATTTATTGCTTGAAAACACAGAGACGTGAATGATACTAGGAGTCAAATCAACAAAATAAAACTGTCAGAACAATGTAAGAGATGAGATAGAAACCATTTGATGTTGAAACCAACAGGAAGGAAAACTAACCCAGATAGATAAGCTGTAAAAAATAACACAGGTTCACCAGTGATGGAGATTACATTTAAGAGTAGCTATTCAGTATCTTCCTTAAAATATAAATATGCCCAAATTGAAAAATGTTAATGTTTGTTAATTATATTTTCTTGTGCAAATATTGCACATTTATGAAAATGCTTCCAGATTTTGGTGGTGAGGTTTAGGTAAGAAATATGAGCAGAATAAAAGCTTTTGTCTATCTACCTATCTATTTTGTAGGCCTTGGCTAACTTGGACGGGATATAAAAGGGGCTTCATTTACTATTAGGTTCACAAAGAGCAGGTGGGAAGAATGAGTGTGCAGTTCTCCTCCGTAAGTTTGCCAGAGTCTACCCTTGTGCTCATATATTTCACAACTGGGTTGCCTGGTTTGTCAACTTCTGTGTCTGCTTACAAAAGTTATTTTAACTTGTTTCAGGAAAGAAAATTACATAAATTAATTTCTTTTAACGACTGGAGGAAACTATGCATCACTGCTTCAATGTGAGCAATAAAGCATGAAAAGTTAAATTACTTTAAATACAAAAACATAGTATTTATTTTTAGAACTAGTTGCATTAAACATAATACATGCAATCCTTAATGTAGGCATTTGCTATCAGTGAAACAACTCTTTCTGAAAGAAATACGTCTTACTGAGTCTGATGAATTAACAAAGAGTGGGAACTGACTTTGGGGAATTAGAGTGTATTTGGGTGCTTAAAAACATGTGAATTCTGGTTCTGGATTAGCACTTAAATAAATTAGGGTCTTAGACACTACATATGACTTTGGAGGGCCTGTTTTCTACTGTCATACTAAATTAGGTCCAGAACACCTAAATTGCAATATTTTTGTTGCTGTTGTTGTTTGTTGTTTAGGATAGTTTTAGCATCACAAAACATTGATAGGGAGTCACAGGCACTGTCCATAAAGCCCCGGTTCTCACACATGCGTAGACTCTCCCATCATCAACATCATTCACCAGAGTGGTACAGATGTTACCAGGGGTGAATGTACATTAACACATCATAACCACTGAATGTCCATGGTGTATATTAATATTAGGATTCACTCTTAAATGAAATTCTATAGGTTTGGACAAATGTATAGTAACATATATCCATCATTATGCTATCATACATAGTATTTTCACTGCCCTAAAAATCCTCTGTGTTCTGCCTGTTCATCACTACCCTGCTCACCCTTGGAAATCTTTAGTCTTTTAATTTTTTCCATAGTTTTTCCTTTTCTAAAATATCCATAGTTGAAATCATACAGTATATAGCCACTTCAGATAGGGTTTTTTCATTTTGTAATGTATATTTACAGTCTCTCAGTGTCTTTCTATGGCTTGGTAGCTCATATCTCTTTAGTGGTGATATATATTTCATTTTCTCCATGTACCACCATCCAGTAATAGATGGATTCACTGGTGAATTCTATCCAATAATTAAAATAGTTAATTTATAGCAATTCTTTTCAAGAAATTCCTCTCAATTTCTTCCAAGAAATAGAAGAGGTGAGAACACTTCTAAACTCACTTTATGAGTCTAGCATTACCCTAATACTAAAACCAGATAAGGAGACCATGAGAAAAGAAAATTATAGGCCAATATTCTTGATGCGGGATTCCCTGTTGGCTCATTGGTAAAGAATCTGCCTGCCAATATAATAACTCTTGATGAATATGGATTCAGAAATTCTCAACAAATCTTAGCAAATCATACTCAACAATACACTAAGCAAAACAAAACAATTTAATTAAAAGATGGGCTGAAGATTTGAACAGGCTTTTTCCCAAAGAAGTCAAACAAGTGGCCAACAGGTTCATAAAAAGATGCTCAAAATCAATAATTATCAGGGAAATGCAAATCAAAGACACAATGAAATAGCACCTCACATCTGTTAGAATGGATATTATAAAAAAAGATAAGAAATATAAAAAAAGATAAGAAATAACAAGTGTTGGTGAAGACACAGGAAAAGGGAACCTTGTGCACTGTTGGTGGGAATGTAAAATGGTATAGCCACTATGGAAAACAATATGGTTACTTCTAACAAATTTAAAAATAGAACTGAAATATAATACAGCAATTCCACTTAAATGCATCCACATCAACCTAAGAGTACATCATTTGGAAACACTGATAAAGAATGTGTGATATATAGCCTATGGAATATTATTCAGCCATTAAAATAATGAAAATTTGCCATTTGGGATAATGTTAATGGAACTTGAGGGTATTATGTTGAGTGGAATAAGGAGACAAAGACAAATTCTGCATGATCTCACTTGAAAAAAATATAATCTCATAAACAAGCACAAAGGTTTACTGTATAGCACAGGGAACTATAGTCAATATATTATAATCTATAATGGAAAATAATTTCAAAACTAATGTTTATAACTGAATCACCTTGCTGTGTACCTTAAACACTGTACATCAACTACACTTCAATAAATTAATTAATTTGAAACAAAAAAGAATATAAGCTCACAGTTACAGAAAACAGATTGCTGTTTGCCAGAAGTAGGGTTTGGGGAGTAGTGAGTGAATTGGATGGAGGAGGACATATCTCCATTATAAAGAGGACCATAGGATGAACGAAGTGATTGAAATTATCTCCATAGTATGAACGAAGTGACTGAAATTATCTTTTTTGTTGACTTAATTTAATTCCCAGGAGTCCTGACCAATAAACAAGATCAGGAACATTTTAAAGGCAAGAACAATGCCTTTTTCAGCTCTGTAACATCTCACATCAAGGCAGACTAAAGGAAGTTGTTTGATGAACAGAAACATCATGGAACTCTTAGATGAGGTCACATCTGCACTCTGTGAGGCTCCATCTTTTGAATAAAGAAACTAAGACTAATGTCCTCGGAGTCACCAAAATAAGACAGGTAGAGCTAGTGATTTAACCCAACCTATCAGATGCCAATTTTATGTTCACTCAACTCCATCTTAATACTTCTCTACTAGGTGTGATAGTGGTTGACAGGATGTGTCAACCTGTGTCAACCACTTATTTAAATATAATATAAGCCCCCATTTCACCCCCAAATCACATAATTTTCTGCAGGGGTCTAGTTTCTGTATTATGAGACACTGGTGAAAAGAAAGAGGATATCTATAGAGTATTCTTGACCTTAGTTAGGGTCTTGTTTTCTAAAAAAACACATAAAATAATGAAATGTTATATCAGTTATGAAATATATCTATTGACAATTGTCAGTAGATTGAAATTGTTGAAATATAAAATTGTTCAAATATGAAATTGTTCATACTTTGTTAATGTAGAATGGTTCAAAAAACATTACACATGGTATCATTCTATTCTGTGAAAATATATTAAAATGAATATGTACTAAAGTTTCTGAGAGAAAGTATGAGTTCTTTTTTCCTACTTGGTGGAATTATGAGATTGTTTTATGCTGTTTTAAAATCTTTAGCAGTTTTGTTTTTTTCCTGAAATAGATCTTTTATAAAATAAAAAAATTATAAAATTATAAAATATTGCATATAAGAGAAAGCTTTATTTTAGTCAAAAGAATTTTAAGCAATATGATGGAAAAATTGAAGCTCGAGACTTGACTTGAGACTATTCTTATAGAATCAGATCTGACACAAGGAAAAGAGGATTCATATCTCAGAAAAGGTAAAAAGAAGAGAGTTCTAAAACAAAATGAGGTTTGTGAGAATGAAAACTAGTATATGAACATACTTTAATGAGAAAAAAATAGTGGAGAAATCAGTTGTCATGTAGTTGGTAGATCTGACCTCCAGACTGAGGAGTTTAGACTTTAGCCACTAAATAATAGAGAACTTAGATGGTATATAAACAATATTTAACACCTTGATAACTGTAGACATAGTTACTTACAGGGTTTGTAACTTCAGTCTTTACCACACAATTCAGTTAAATATGTGTACACATACACACACACAATTTTATATACTATAAAAATAACACCTATGGAAATTGAGAAGGAAAAGTTTTCATAGGT